GCACGGCACGGCACGGCACGTCACGTCACATCACATCACATCACATATCAGACATCGCACATCACACGTCGCACATCACACGTCGCACATCACACATCACACATATCACATCACACATCGCACGCACGCACGCACGCGCACAAACACACACACACAAACACACTCATTCTTGAATCCTACCAAAGGGAACCAAGTGGACACCAACTGCTCTGGGGATATGATTACCCGCCAACACTACCAGTGGAACCTCTGCCCACCCCAAACTGATACCCTGGCAACATGGGCCAGTCCTCCGGTTGGCCATTGGGGAAAAACAGGACACCCTCTTTCGGGTAGCGGATTTTGACGGGTTGTTGAAGAAGGGGAACACACTTGCAGGGAATCCCAAGAAGGTTTGATCCATTCCTTTATGTTTCCACGCTAAACCCATTGACCTTTGGATTAATATAGATCTATATCGCCATTTCTACAGCCCCCAAATCCGAAGACACCAGGTAGAGTCAACTAAACTGGCTCAGAGGAATTTCATGTTGGGCGCTATCGATATGGACGCGAACCGAGGAACATGATAATGAGCATGGACTTGATCACTGCTGAGGTGAGCTGGACGGCCTGGCTGGTTCGATCCAACTGGTTCAATCCCCAGGGGTTTGAAGCGTCCACTTTGGTTGCCACCACGATTTGACAATTGCAACAAATAAAAAGCAAATCAACAGCGTCAAATCTTGGTTTGGACAGAATGAAAGCCCACCTAGAACTCCCTACAAGTTTTTTGGAGGGTGTACCACAAGGGCTTCCGGGTTCAGGGTTTTGAGGGCATATATCATACTACTAGCCACTACATGAAGGGGTTTTACCCGTGCGAGGCCATCCTTGTGATGTGAACACCGCAGCGGGGATGGGCGGAAGCGTGCCACTTAAAATCGAAGAGTCTCGACCTGACGTCCAGAAGCAAAGACGCCAGGCTCCAGTCTTCTTTGACAATCCCTCACGAAGGGTGCCGCCTGCGAAACCGAAGCCTGCCTTTCGCTTGCTTCCCTTCTTGAAAAGGCAAACTAAAAGACTGCCGCGCGGCTCATCTATAAGCCGAAGGCGGAGTCACTCGAGAAATCTGTTCACCCAACACCCTTAGGGCTCAACGTCCCTCAAAGGTCCGGGCTGCTCTAAACAGACCTTGGCAGGGTAGGCAAAAAGAACCAGTCGGAAAGGGAAACCCACTGGAAACCACCTAGCCATGCTCCTACCCAAACGTGGTTCGGTCTGTTCAAGGTTCGGTGAAACACCTTGTGGCGCCACTGGCGACTGTCGTCGCGAGAAAAGGATGCGTCCAAAACTAAGCAAGGAAGCCCCCCCCCCAAAAAAAAAAAAACTAAGCAAGGCAGCCCCCCCTCAAAAAAAAATACAAAAAAATGGCGGCGCTCCATTTGTCGCCCTTCAGGTGGAAAGGGGGGCGCCGAATCGCACCCCGGGTTTCCCCGGGCGAAAAAGACCGGGGCGCCTGGGTGTAGCCCAAGGAGAGCTGATCCTCAAGGACCCGCATCAGCACATTCAGCTTGAGGAGCCTGAATTCCAGCGAGGTGAACCCCCCAAAAATGGCAGGGGTGATTTGGTTGGGAACACCTCTGAGAATCACCTGATTTGTTCGAGGGCACCCTCGGATTGAAACCGCAACCCGAAGTCCATGTTGGCATTCTAAATCCCTGCAGAAATCCAAGGACTTCGACCCATGACCCATGGATACACCCCAAATGGCTATACCATGGGCTTCTGTGCCGCGAGCGCCTTGCAAGGCTTCCGTCCCTTTGGCTTCTCGATCCCCCCTGAAAATCGTCGCGCGGGAGCCTCCCTTTTCAGGGGTAAGGCTCTTTTTCCTCCAGGCAAGGGTTTGGTGCTTGAACATGTCCCCTGCCTGAAACCAATCGGGGAGGTCAGTTGAGATGGATGATCAAACACACGGAGAAGCTTCAGGCGGCAGGCTGCGAGCATTCCCCATGTAAGGGCCTCAAGGCTTAGAATGGCATTCCCTAGAAGAACCTTCGCCTTGAGATTTGTCCCGTAAAACCCCAGCTAGGTCAATCCTTGGAAAAGGGTGAAAACGCAAGGACTCCAAAAAGAGAAAACTTTATAGCTGGTAGAAGAAGAGAGTCACGGTCAATCCCATCTTAAATGAAACACCCTCTGTTCATCAACCGTAGGGATATTCATCCTGAGTTGCGTTCGAACCACCATCTCACAAGGATTCTCCGTTGTGTGTTGCCTTTCCAGATGTTTCAACCCAAACAAGTACAAGGTTAAAAGTAGCTAACCCCTCGAAACAGAACTACGCCGGAACCCAAAGGCCTGCCTCACCAGCCGTAGCGTGCGGACCACGCGCACCACGCGCGCGAAGCGGTGGCCCACAAAGACGGTCTCCGCGTCGGAGTCGTCAAGGGCCAGCATCACCTCGAGAGCAGTTTGGTTTTGTCTGGGCGAATCCCCCAAATTCCAGGGGCACCTTCCCCATTCTTTCCAGGGATCCTTTTCAGGAAACCATCAAAAACCCAGGGGAAACAGCCGGTTCTTGAAAAAAACAATGGTTGAAAAGAATGGGGAATCAACCCCCCTGGATTTTCCGGGTCTTTTGGTCTGTGTCCCTTTGAATCAACCCCAACAGGGTTACAAAAGCGTTACCGCCTGTGAGGGACAAGAACATGTGTTTCGAGGACAAATACCTACATTGATTTATGCAACCGTATAATACGCACATGTATATATATATATATATACACACACGTTATATGTATATATGGTGATGTATATATGGTGAAGAAGGTATTGTAAGTGTGCTTGTGCGCATAATTGTGCTTGTGTACATAATGTGTAGATTATATTGTTGCTACCCCGGCAGTGATACCCCTTTAGGCATGTGTCAAACGTAAGAAACCAGGTCTCATGCCAGGTGTCATGTCGGTAACCTTTTGAGACTGTGCCAAAACCAAGCTTCAATCAGAACTTCGGTCGCCCGGAAAACAGTTGGGCGTTTTTGGCGGGTACTCGATTTCCATGGAAAAGCCGCCTCCAAAAAAGGAAGCGACCGCAGGGGTTCGACTTCACCAGGCGGAAGTGACACAGACCTCATCAAAGAGTTTGCAGTTCCCCCGCCGGGGTCCTGGTTCCTACAGGACTTCCCTACTCCAGATTCAAAATAGGAGCCTAAATCCAAAATAGAGTTGAGGATGTCGGGTACTTAACCAAGTCATCCATGGTCAGAAGACAGCTCCAATGTGTGTAACTTAGTGGGCCCTTAAATTATAAAATAAGTGTTTTGATGCCCAGCAAAGGGCCCGAGTTGTATTCAGAAAGCGCAAAGGAGGCCACCTGCCGAACAGCATCGGCCCGCGGTGACTCACTGGGGTCCGGATTCTTCTTTCCAGGGGCACCCCCTTGCAGCCGGGGTGTGGATTCGACACGGCAATCTTGAGGGCCACAAATTTCTGGCCGAGCACATGCCGAGCAACCAGGCTGCAGTTTTGATCTGGGCACATGCAACTCGCACGCCCAGCCCATTGGCTGGAAAAGAATTGTGGGTGTCTCAAAATTGGATTCGGACCCCTCCATCGAGGTGGTTTCCTTATGGGTTTCCTTTTACACCATCCGAAAAGGGGTCCCCTGTTTTGAGACACACCCAATCGGAGCCCTTTTTGGTGTCCCCAAGCTTGTTTGGCGACTTCCACAGCCGGGGCCGATCGGAACCGTGAGGAATAGTCGCATCCCCAAGCTCCCACGAAGCAAGCTGCGAAGAAAGTCTAGACTTCCGTTTCGGCAGGTCGATCTGAGTTCAGGGGACTCAACCCATCCGAAAATTGCGCCATCTACTTTCACCAAGCTTATCTGGAGTCTCCAAAGACCCCATCGGACTAAAAATCGGTGTCTCCAAAGATCAACCAAGACAAGCAAGCCGGGACACCGAGAGAAAGCCAACCATTTCAACCAAGGCCATCTTTTAAACGCTCGCCTGGTTTTGCTCCGGAAAAAAGAAGAAGAAATAATGGTCCCCTTTCGAGACTTAAAAGGGCAACTTATTTGGAAACCGAACACCTGGATCCTGACTGTGCAACTCCAATCAGCTTCCCACCCATCGGTGGTTTGGCTTGGTCTGGAGGTTGGGAGGCTTCCCATTCAGCAAGTGCCATGGTTCAAATCCACCAATCCAAACCACCTTTTTTTTTGTGTGAGTCAAAAATAGGTACACAAATTGGAACCCCTGGTTAACGGAAACAAGGGCTAAATCCTGCGGTCCGATTCCTGGTGGTTTATTTTCGACCCCTACCCACCAGGCTTGCCGGGTGGCCCAGTCCAGAGTGACCAGCGTGCAGTCAAACAGGAACCATCCTAAGGGTCAAGAGCGGACAGGTCGACAGGGGCCGCTTCGGAGAAAACCACGAGCTCAAGTAAAGGTCAAGACAAACCTTGACATGGGAATAGCCCCCACCCCAAAAGAAAAAGAAAAAAGAGGAGGTGCTTTCCCATCAAATGGGAGTTTTAAACAATTAGAGTACCTTCCCAAAGGTCGGCCGCCGCGGGGTTTGCCATTTTCATGTCCAAGGCGAACAAAACCTTTTCGAACAACTTCAAAAAGAGACCTGTGAGAGATGCTGCCACTGAATGTGAAACATAAGAAAGCCCTGCAGAGGCGAGACTTTTCCGTGGTTGAGGTCAAACATTACAACGTCTTGCTGGACTTTGTGCTGGTAAGCCATAACCCATACCTGGAGCCAAAGCGTGCACCTACAACTGGGAGTGTCTCCCAACGGGGGTGCCCCCTGATAAAGGATTCGTTCGTGTCCCTGTTGGGTTCTCTTTTTACAGCAGCGAACACGTGCTCCCCGCCCCAGGCACCACGCCACGGCTTCTATACACCTGGGAGCAATACTCGTGAAATGCAGCCGCATATGCAGAATCCCCGTGAAATGGGCCCTTCACGTCAGGTGATGCACGCCACAAAACACGGGACACGATGACACCGGTAAATGGCTAGAACCAAGCTGAAACTAGTGGCACCCATCTAATCTATGTTCAAACAAAAACTGATATAGAGTGCTAACAAGCTAACATATACACATGGTTCTCTTGTAACCTTGATTTAATTCGATTTCAAACTCCCTCTTGCAACACCATTCAGACAATTTTGGCCCTTGCATTATGTTCAACCGACTGACCAAAACGGGCTTGCCCATACCTCACTTTCTGAGTGCATGGGGAAAACAAGCTTAGATTGTTTCGCTTCCCAAAAAAAATGAAATCCACGACTGGCCCCTTTGTTCTACCATGATCAATGCCCCCGAAGTGGTAGGTCAAAGGGAATCCATCCCGGTTTTTGACGTTGATCAACCCCCAGAAACAGCTCAAGCAATGACCCCAGCATGAGCTCAAGTGAGCAAAGGACAGCTACGATGCCGAAAACGGCCGGTCCTTTCAGGTAGTGTTGCAAGGCCCGGCTGGAGGACAAAATCAGCTCGCCGGACTCGTAGAAGCCCGTCTGCGTGCTGCTGAGCATGTCCAGGGTCCAGTACACCATGCACACCACGGAGATCACGGAGAGCCAGGTGTTCGCCTCAAGAGGTTTTTGCCAGATGTGGCAGATAGGGATGCCAGAAATGTGTCTTCCTTTCCCACCCTGAAAAACGGAACCCCCAAGAATAAAATGATTACCCTGGTCACCTAATATACGCAGGCGGAATAGTTACCTCACTCGCTGAGTGGATTGGAAACAAACAAATCCGAGCTGATTGTTTACCACTAAAGTGGTCTGCCACAAAAGTGTGAAGTCTGGAAACTGGGGAAGTGAATTACTAGCGGCACACTCCTACAACAAGGAAACTAGCCCACAACCCCATTCTACACGCTTCGGGGCTGAGCGTAAGCAAATTGCTGAGCTTCGAACAATCCCCAGCTCAGATATTTGTTTGGCTAAGCTAGGCTGAATGAGTAGCGAGTGCTGACAAAACATGCAACTCCACATCAACACCAGCTCTGTCCCAACACTGAAGGCATCGCCAGCAACGCAAAAACAACTAGGGAAGCATGCAGGGGCTGGTAGTGTTTGCACGAGTTTGGGCAGCAGACTCTCACAACCCCTGCCACTCCAGAAACCTGTCAGTGTTTCACTCTGCAGCCTTGCCAGTGTGCCACTGACTAGCAGTGCGCCAAACCCTACCGCATAGTTGAAGCGGTACGCGCCCACAGTTCGACAAAGGCAAATGAATAGCTTGGCATAAAATGATCGATCGTATGGTTGCGCTCGCTTTGCTCATTGCACCGCGCGAAGGAATCGCCCCAATGTATTTTCCAGCACGCGCGCCCCGGGTTCTTTTTTCGCCCCCCCCCCCCCCCCCACCAAACAACTGCTTTTTGGGTCCAACGGCGCTTGTTCTCGCTTTTGGGGGCCCAAGGTAATCGCCTTGGGTGATGGCAACTGCCCAGAGTCAAGGCACCACATCCCAGCTCACAATCACCGGAATGGAGATGGCGTCGAAGAGCACAAAGAGGAGCCCTAAAAACCTGCAGTCAATAACTAGGCTTGCTGCGAAGCCACAAAGCTAGAGCAAAACAACAGAAATGCAGCTCATATTCTAGGTGGTTTGGCCATCCTAACGCTCAAGGCAACTCTGTAGCAGGCAATCATACATTTTCGCTTTGTTGATCAGAGGGTGGTTCCGTTAGGCTACCTATACTGGCAAACTAGTTTGCAATAATTCCCACACGTGCAAAAGGGATCACCAGGTAAAGGACCGAAATCGCGTTATTCACCGGTGAGCTTGCCAGGGTTGTCCACAATGTGACGTCTTGCTGCAGCATTCCCATTAACAACTCCTCTAGCAGCAGAAGCAAATACGACTATAACACTGATCGCAACAGGCGGAAACAAACACCCAACGTAAAATGGCGACACACAACCAAACTCAACTGAGGAAACGACGACGACGACAATGCCGACGACAACAACAACAACAACCACAACCACAACCACAACAACAACACTGACAGTAACAGAAACAGCAGCAACGGAAGAAGCAACAAACATATAAAGACATAAAGAAGGAGAGAAAGAAAGAAAAACAAGGTTACGTCCGTGCTAGTTGCGCAGGACAATTCTGACTGAGGGCAATGTTTTCACTCAAACACGTGCGGCGTGCTGCTCCACAGGTCATGGCCAACGTTCCGTCGCCACATCCATGCATAGACATACTCCCAGAGCTCCGCGTTCACGAGTCTGGTTTTGCATCCTTTGACGCAATGGTTTTGAGATTCTATCATCAAGAAGCTGCCAAAGCCTATCTATGAGTTGCGTAACTGCAGTGAACGCAGACATCTCTGATGAGTCCTCTACGTCTGACACCAGGTCTACTATGTCAGCATCTATGCCATCTCGTTGCGGACACTGACGCCAGCACCAAGCTTCGTAACGTTTTGTCCACGGCGAATCTGAACGGAGCAGAGGAGACAGATGCCCATTCAAGG